AATCATATACTATTTATGTGTGTGTGCCTGACTTATTCATCTTAGCATGATGTCCTCAAGATTGTTCATCCATGTTGTAGCATGTGTCAGAATTTCATTCCAATAGCTTCTTGAGGTCAGGATTCATGCCAATAAGTGTGTCTCTTTGAATTTTTTAAAAAATCGTAGATATGAATAGATATGAATGTAAAGTAACAAGATCTGTAAACAATCTCAAAAGGAAGTTAACACTGACTGCCCCTTGCCAACAAGGTGAGTCCACAGATCAAGAGGCACACATACACATATGGTTATGATGCCTAACTCCCCATGCTAACCTGCTGCTTCACTTATACCTTTCATATTTTATACAAATGTCTCTTGTGAACAATTCCTATCTGAACCTACACAGGCAGTAAATTCTGGGAGAAGTGGTTCTCCAATGTGAAATCCACTGCAATGCTATTAGAGTGTATTCCAGACAGGAGAGAGCTTCTGTGTTGACCAGACATAGACAAAAATGAAACTCTCTGTTTGCAATTTTACATACCTGATGACTAGAAGAATTTTCCACTATTGGTCTCAGCCACCATACATTTCAAACTTTGTTTCTCTTCTACTTCTGGTGCTAGGTGCCCTAGGGGGTGCATTGTTATTGGAATATCACCTCTGACCTTTAATACATTTATGCAGGTGAGTTAGCACAGAGGGTAGTAGCATTCCTGGAAGCCATTTCTAAACCAGGGCTGCTAATAATAACTAAACATGGAAGTGACTGCAAATCACATGAACATATTCTACTAAAACTAAACCAAATATATCCCAGTTCAATTTCCTATTAGGTGGACCCCCAAAATGCTGCAGCCACTCCAGTGCCACCCAATACAAAAGAAGTTTGCAAGAGGGAAAATCAGAATAGGCAGAGAGAGCATCTTACCATTGATATTTAAAATATCTCACTTTGTACAGTTTATAAAAACAAATGACCTTGTGAACACATTGGTGGGCACTAGCAAGAAGCCAGTGCAAACCAGGGCTCTGAGGCCTAACCTCTATTGGCTCTGGGTAAATTTGCCTCTGGATTTTTATATGCAAAGCATTAGTTGAATTGATTTTGGTTTTAATTTTTTAGGTATATTTTATTGATATTCTATTACAGTTGTCCCAATTTTCCCCCTTTGCCTCCCTTCACCTGGTACCCCCATTTCCTCTGGTAATCCTCCCTTAGTTCATGGCCATGGGCCATGCATATAAGTTCTTTGGCTTCTCCACTTCCTATTCTGTTCATAACGTCCCCATCTATTCTGTACCTACCAATTTGTAGTTCTTAATCCCTGCACCTTTTCTCCCCTTCTACCTCTTCTGCCTCCTTTCTACCTCTGATAACCCTCCAAATGATCTCCATAGCTATGATTCTATTTCCATTCTGTTTGTTTGCTTAGTTTGTTTTTTAGATTCAATTGTTAATAGTTGTGAATTTATTGCCATTTTAGTTTTGACCTTCTTCTTTTTCTTAAATAAGTTTCTTTAACATCTCACATAATAAGAGCTTGGTGACAATGAACTCCTTTAGCTTTACCTTGATGGGAAACACTTTATCTACCCTCCCATTCTAAATGATAGCTTTGCTGGATAGAGTAATCTAGGTTGTAGGTCCTTGCTTTTTTATCACTTTGAATACTTCTTGCCAGTCCCTTCTAGCCTGCAAAGTTTATTTTGAGAAATCAGCTAGCAATCTTATGGGAACTCCTTTGTAGGTAACTCTCTGCTTTTCTCTTGCTGCTTTTAAGATTCTCCCTTTATCTTTAGCCTTTGGCATTTTAATTATGATGTGTCTTGGTATGGTCCTCTTTTGATGGTCTCCATCTTGTTTGGGACTGTCTGTGCTTTCTGGACTTGTATGTCTATTTCCTTCACCAAATTAGGGAGATTTTCTTTCATTATTTTTTCCAATACATCTTCAATTTTTTGCTCTTTTCTTCTTCTTCTGGCACCCCTATGATTCGAATGTTGGTGCATTTGAAGTTGTCCCAGAGATTCCTTAGCCTATCTTTTCTTCTTTTTTATTCTTTTTTTTTCCTTGCTTTTCTGATTGAATGTTCTTTTCCTTCCTTGTGTTTCAAATCATTGATTTGCTTCTCAGCTCCATCCATTCCACTGTTGGTTCCCCGTAAATTGTTCTTTATTTCATTTAGTGTAACCTTTGTTTTTGCCTGGGTCTTTTTTATGCTATTGAATTACCTAGTGAGTTCCTTGAGCATCCTAATAATGAGTGTTTTGAACTCTGCATCTGATAGATTGCTTATCTCCATTTTGCTTAGTTCTTTTTCTGGAGTTTTGTTCTGTTTTTTCGTTTGGGCCATATTTCTTTCCCTCCTTTTGGCAGCCTCCCTGTGTTTGTTTCCACGTATTAGGTGCTCCCTTAGCAGCATGGCCTATTGTAGAAAAGCACACCAGTAAGTTGGATGCAGTGGAGCCTTAGGTAATAGCCAGATCAGGGCAAACCATGTGAATCAGGTTAATGGAGTTTCACATATATTGTTACCACTCTGTGGTCCTGTGTGGTGGAGGGCTCAGAAAAGGGACAATGGCCACTGCTTGGCCTCTGGAGTTTTGTCTGGGAGGAAGTTGTCCTCCAGCACTTGCCCATGATGTTAAACACTTCATTTTCTCCCCATATGCCACTGGTACCCTTCCAGCTGCTGGCCTGGTACTGTAGTCCAGAGGTAGTGAGTCTGCGTAAGTCTAAGTCCATTGAGGCCCTACCCCTGAGAATCCTGAAGTTTCTTCTGCTGTCCCAACCCTCACTAGTTTATACAGCCAGAGTTATAGGAACTTGTTATCCTGGTACTGGTGTTTTCAATTTTTTATTAAGAATATTTTCCAACATACACTAAGTTGAGGACCATATAATAAATCCCATTTCACCTCATGTACTCATCACTGAGTATCAACAATGATCAGTGTTGGTTGATTTTTCTAGTACTCATCATCACTGCCCAAAATCCATTTTGCCTAGAGGTGTGATATTTCTGGCTCCTATCTTTCTTTCTCAGATTCCTGCCTGGTTCTTACCCCACTGGATTACTTAACAGGGTAATGGGTCTCATTGAATTATTCACCCTGGTAAATTTTATATGATTTTTTAAATACCCTTGGGGCAAACATACCTTATTTTCTTTTGATTTGGGGGGACAGTGAGTAAAGACAGATTTGACTAGCCTCAAAGGAGAAACTCTGGATCCTTTTTTCTATTAGATCTGGAAACACAGCCTCCACAGAGAAATCCACACTCCACAGACAAATGCATATTCTATTTAGATAAAGTTTTATAAAGCTTTATTTAAAATATACCAACATTAGAAAACAATTCTTAAAACCTACCAGTTTGTTATCTCATGAAGAAGCTCAGTAAAATAACAACAGTGTGGTGAGAATGGGCACAGCTATGATTTTTTCCAAGCAGAATCTCAAAGAAATTGAATCAGTTAACAAGCCTTAAGGGTAAGGGCATTCTTAATAAGGATAACTACTCATATGGCAGTTCTCAGAATTACAATAAGGCTGGTAGAACATTTTCATCTTGTATTTATTAAATACCTATCACTGAGCCAGGGACATACAGCAATGACAAGATACACCAACTCCCTGTTCTCAAAATGTTCACAGTCTAATCCAATAGATGTTGTTTCTAAACCAGAACACTAACAGTCTTTTTAAGTGGGACTGCCTGCACATTCCTAGCCCTGCCTCCTAAATGATAATACACCCAAAAGCCCACGGATGACATTTCCCTCCCATGTAAGGAACTACTATTTCTTCCACTGCAGGGAAAGCAATAAGAAAGTAAATTCACAAATACATGAATAAACATTGTAGTGAAGGCTGTGATGAAAATGACCAGGTTGCTGTGACAGTGAAATTGATTCACAGTGAGGCTGGAGTGGGTGATACTTTAGTTTGGGTCATCTGCACAGGCCCCTTTGCACAGGTGGCAGGTATGGTAAATGTCCTAGAAGATGAAAATTTGTAGCTATGAGTGTTTTGGAGATAGGAACATTATGTCCCAAAGTCCTGAAGTGGGAAGGGGCTTAGTGAACTTTAAGAAATGTGGAAAGAAGACAGTGGGAGGTTGAGATACAATTGGAAAGACAGGTGGAGGCCAGGTCATGTAAGGCCTTCAGGGTTGTAGGGAAGAATTTGGATTTCACTCTAAATGCTTCCCACTGGAAGCCACTAAGAGTTTTAAGGAAGTTATTGATGTGATGATAATAATGAGATGTAGTTAACACTATTGAGCACTTGCTCTGGGCTAAGCAAAGTTTTAAACTCTTTATCTGTATATTAACTCAATATAACCTTATAATAACCCTATGAGATGAGTACTATTCATAGTCCCATTTTATAGATAACTGAAGCATAAGAGCGTTAAGTAACTTTCCCAAAGTCACAGAGCTAATAAATTCTTTTTTAATACCTAAACAGTTTCTCCACTATGAAGCAGGAGTTGTATTTGCTGAAAACCTGGCCAGAGTTGTCTGCTGGTCCATCTTCAGCAAGCACTTCTTTGGCTCAGAAAGCTGCCCGTTCCATGCACGTACACCCTATGGATTAAAAGTTAACCAAGGCTTGCACATGGTGACGCTCACACTTTTTGAGGCAATGTTTTTAACAACAAAAACAACAAATCCCTAGACAATGTGATCTGTTTTGGCTACAAAACGCAAGGTGAGTCTATTCCTCCTTCAAAAACCCTCAAGCACTGGGGTTGGATGCAGTCACTAGAAAACTCGCTCAAGAGAGCACCACCCACTCAGGCCCAGTGCTCCTCCTCTGACAGCCAGAAAGGAAGTTGGGGTGCCCGCAGGTGCGCAGGGACAGGGAAGGCGGGAAGAAAATTCGCTGAAGCAGAGACTCCAGGGCTGGACGTGAGCCGGGCGTAGAAAGTAATAACGTTGAGGGGCGTGGCGACGTCCGGCTGTTAGGAGGGACGAGCGGCAGGGGCGGGGCGAAGTGGGGACAAGCATGGCGGGGGCGGGGCGCTTGCATCGGAAAGATGGCGCTACGTCTACTGCGAGGTGCGGTACGCGGAGCGACAGTGGCGGCGCTGCAGAGGCTGTGAGTGCAGGCTACCCCCTACCCCGTGGGCCGGAGGTGGTTTCCCGGTTCCTGCTGGAGCCCCGGGGGGCCTTAGAGGACTGTGCGTCTCCCGTGCGCAGGCTCGACCTCTGTCTGCCAAGGTCGTGGACGCCCAGCGAGGGTCGCCTCCACTGCTGTATCTCCCTGTGGGAGGACCCTTGCTTGGACCTGGAAAATGGGTGCAGACAGTCGATCTGTTAGGCCCAGAAAACAAAACTAGCTTCCCCCGCAAATGGTAATCTTGAGAGTGCACATGTTTTATAAAAGGAGTCCTGGAGTTAGTCGCAGAGGTTGCTCACCTCTGCGACTATGTGTCAGCACAGCGGTTGTTTCAGAAGTATGTTTCAGCACAGCGGTTCCCAAATCAGGCAAAAGACCCCTTTCTTTACACGCGAAAAATTATTGAGGACTCCAAGAGCTTTTGCTTGCTTGTATCTTGATTTTTACGGTATGAGGAATGAAAACAAATTTTAAAAATGTTTATTTAAAAATAAAAAACATTACATTTTAACACAAAATGACATATTTAATGAAAAAATAACTATAAAAAGTGGCAGTGGCATGGTTTTATTATTTTTGAAAAACTTTGGTTTAATAAAAGATAATTGGAGTCTCATATCAGCTGTTCTGGAGGAAGTTTACAAAGGAACTCCGAACTCACCCAGTTGGAGATACTAGCTGGAAAAGGGAAGACCTTATAAACCCTCTCAAAGGGTCTCAGGGACGCCCCCCGCCCCCCTCCAGGTGTCCTGGGACTACACTTTGAGAACTGCTGGTCTAGTACTCGCCTGAACGTAGGTTATCTCCTTTGATTCCCTGACCAGCATGTGAAGTCAGGTGACTTGTTCATAAAAATGAGGAAACTGAGGCTCAGAGGTCAGTTTAGAAACCAAGTCTATGGCTCCAGAACTTTTTACTTTGGCTTCCTTCCTCCTTCCTGACTCACATTGTTCCATGACCCACCTGGCTGTATGCATCCTTTCCCATTTCCTACACCCAGGCCTGGTACATGGCCTGGACTCAGGGGATCACCCCTGGAACTAGAGGAGCCATTCTTGTGGGTTTGCACATCCTTCCAGAAATTCACTTTTCTGGCCTGTGAAGAGGCCATCCAGCTTTTGTGGGCTTTTCAACAATGGGTCCAGTGACCACATGCAGTTACTTACTTTTAAGGTGCTTGGTGCTCAGTGTACAATGCTCTTCACCTCCATTAACAACTGGTTCATTCTCAACACAACCTACACACCCCACCAAGGCCATGTCAGCAGGCTTATGTGCAGGGTACCTCCCAGAGCCTACACCGTGAGTTGAATCCTTCCATCCTGGGGTCTTCAGAGCACACAGGTATGACAGAAGTAAAGGTGCTAAATGTCAAGTTGGGAAAGTTTCCTTAGGTCTTCATTCTACCCAAGTTGGGTTGCACTTCAGGCCAATGGGCCTGCTTCTGCTGTCTCTTCTTTCTGCTTTTAGAGTAGCAGACAGTTACTGTAGCCAACTGTAGCAGACAGTTAGGGACCGACCATTCCTGACCCCTCTTCCCACCAGTTCAACATTTATCCTTGTTGCAGTGCTGTACTACATGCTTCTCTGCTTATCCTGCCTCCAGCCCTGCTGCTTTCTGTAGCCACTGCTCAATTTAAATACTTTTCCCTCAAGTTGGGGGAGCATAACTTTTTACTCCTAGGTGTGCTATTACTAGGGGTGCCTTTTCTTTTAAGTCCTCTTAGCTGATAAAGCAAAGAAATATGTATGTGTGTATCAATAGTAACTCATGCATATACACATCTCAAATATTTCTATTTAGTTCATCTTTGTTCATATGTGTATATCTACAAAGATGGAGTAACCATCTGTATCTCCATTAGGCTAAATATGAATTCATATTGTCTCCAGTTGTAATCCATTACTACATGGATCATTCTAACTTCCTCCCTTTGCTTATTTGTAAATTTTCTAATAGTGAGAAGCCTGGCTCCCACCATCACCATCCAGTTACTTTATTGTTTAATTTCAGCATGTTCATATAGCAGTATCTGAACTGTTAGGTCATACTCCATGGTAAAAAACTTGCTCAACTAGAGTACAGTGCTCTGTGTAATTCCTTTCTCTTTAGTCTTACAAGCTCCACTCATTTCCAGAGTTAGTTAGGTTAGCACCTTTTTTCCATCCCCTTCAGTGAGGTTGTTTCATATATTTGTTTTTTTAATTTATTTTATTTTAGCGATTATGCTATTACAGTTGTCCCATTTTCCCTTCTTTGTTCGCCTCTGCTCTGTGCACCCCCTCCCACTCGCATTCCACCCCTTTAGCTCATGTCCCTGGGTCATATGTACAAGTTCTTTGGCTTCTACATTTCCTATACTATTCTTAACCCTCCCCCTGTCTATCTTCTACCTACCATTTATGCTACTTATTCACTGTACCTTTTCCCCCTGCCACTCGCCCACTGATAACCCTCCATGTGATCTCCATTTCTGTGGTTCTGTTCCTGTTCTACTTGTTTGCTTAGTTTGCTTTTGTTTTTGTTTTTGTTTTAGGTTCAGTTGTTAATAATTGTAAGTTTACTGTCATGTGACTGTTCATAGTTTTGCTCTTCTTTTTCTTAGATAAGTCCCTTTAACATTTCATAAAATAAGGGCTTGGTGATGGTAAACTCCTTTAACTTCACCTTATCTGAGAAGCACTTTATCTGCCCTTCCATTCAAAATGAAAGCTTTGCTAGATAAAGTCATCTAGGATAAAGTCCTTGCCTTTCATGACTTGGAATACTTCTTTTCAGCCCCTTCTTGCCTGCAAGGTTGCTTTTGAGAAATCAGCTGACAGTCTTATGGGAACTCCTTTATAGGTAACTGTCCCCTTTCCTCTTGCTGCTTTTAATATTCTTTCCTTATCTTTAATTTTGGCTAATGTAATTATGATGTGCCTTGATGTGGTCCTCCTTGGGTCCAACTTCTTTGGGACTCTCTGGGCTTTCTGGACTTCCTGGAAGTCTATTTCCTTTGCCAGATTAGGGAAGTTCTCCTTCAGTATTTGAAAGAAAAATTGAAAATAAGTTTTCAATTTGTTGCTCTTCCTCTTCTCCTCTGGTACCCCTATGATTCGGATGTTAGAACATTTAAAGATGTCCTGGAGGTTCCTAAACCTCTCCTCATTTTTTTGAATTCTCATTTTTTCCTTCTATTCTTGTTGAATGTTTCTTTCTTCCTTCTGGTCCACACTGTTTATTTGACTCCCAGTTTCCTTCCCATCACTGTTGATTCCCTGTACATTTTCCTTTATTTCACTTAGCATAGCCTGCATTTCATCTAATTTGCAACCATATTCAACCAATTCTGTGAGCATCCTGATTACCAGTGTTTTGAGCTGTGCATCTGATAGATTGTCTTTTTGTCTCTTAGTTGTATTTTTTTCTGGAGCTTTGATCTTTTCTTTCATTTGGGTGATATTTTTTTTTGTCTCCGTACGTCTATTATATAGTAAGGGGCAGAGCCTTAGTTATTCACCAGGGTGGGGCAACCCACGTCATGTTGTGATGCTGTTTGTGGGGGAGGGGTTTGAGAGGGAACAATGTTGCTTGCTCAATTCTCTGCTGGCTTTCAGTCACTTCCCCCGCTACCCACAATCAAATTGGGCTCTTATGGTGCTGATTCTGGGTGATTGGTTTGTGTATGTTCTAAGACCTTGTGGGTCTCTTCAGTGAACTCTCCTGTAAGGCTGGGAATTTCTTCTGCTGCCATCTCAATGCCCCCCCCCGCCCAGGTGTTTTCAGTCAGAGGTTTTAGTCTTTATTTCTCCAAATTGGAACCCTGGGTTGTGTGGTCTGTCTCACTCCCTAGTTGTTCTTCCTGGTTTATCTGCACGCGAATGTGGGACTGCAATCCACTGCGTCGCCAAGTCCTCCAGCAGCCACCTTGCCACAAATCCTCTCCGCCAGGCTGCCTGTCTCCGTCCCTCCTACTGGCCTGTATAAATATTTCTTCTTTAACTCCTTGGTTGTCAGACTTCCATACAGTTTGATTTTCTGGCAGTTCTGGTTGTTTTTTATTTTTAAATTTTTTGTTGCTCTTTTGGTTGTGCAAGGAGGCACAGTGTGTCTACCTACGCCTCTATCTTGGCTGGAAGTCAGATGATGTTTTATTGAGTTGTACACTTGCAACCTACATGGTTTTGTGAACCAGTGTCACCCCAGTAAATTCAATTAAGAAAAAAAAGAATGGATTTGAATTTATAAAATGTTTTTTCTATATCTATTTTGATGATTATAGAGCTTTTCTTCTTTAGTGTGTTAGTATGGTGAATTAGACTAATTTTTAAAGTGCTAACCTTGCATTCTAGGAATAAACTCCACTTGATCATAATGTATTATTTTTATATATTGTTGGGTTAAATGTGCTAAAATTTTATTCAAAATATGCATCTATCATCACAAAAAATTAGCATATAGTTTTTTTGTACTGTCTTGGTTTGGGTTTGATATCCAGGTAATGATGGCCACATGGAATACAATGGAGAGTGTTCCTTCCTTTTCTCTTTTCTGTTTTGTGTAGAATTGGTAATATTTTTTTCTTACATGTTTATGCCTTCTTTAATTTAAACTTCAAATTTAGATTATCTAGTTCTTTTTTTAATTTTTATTTTTTAAAGTATTTTTATTGATTATGCTATTAGTTTTTCCAATTTTCCTCCCTTTATCCCCTCTCCCTGCTCCCCCAACCTTCCAGCATTTCTCCCCCTTTAGTTCACCTCCATGGCTTGTACATATAAGTTGAGTTCTCTGTTTTGTATACCATTTTTTCTCTCTCCCCATCTATTTTATGCCTACTAATTATGCTTTTTCTGCCCTGTACCTTCCCCACCATTCCTTCCTTCTCCCTTCCCACTGAACTCCCTCCATGTGATGTCCATTTCTCTGATTCTGTTCCTGTTCTAGTTGTTTGTTTAGTTTTTGTTTCATTGTTTTTGTTTTCTTTTAGGTTCAT